AATAAAATTAATTACTAATAAATTTATATTTTTAAATAATATACTATAAAACAAAGATTTTGCATATAACACTCTCAAAAGAAATCGTAGCACAAATATGATAAAAATATAATATAAATGAAGTAGTAGTATGTTAGTGAATAAAAATGAAAGGCAAAACAATGTTAATGGAAAAAAAAACTTTGTAGAATGATGGGAATGAAGAAAATTTTAAGGACTTTCATCGCTTATAACCATTTGAGAATAAAAGTGACAAAAGTAAAAGAAATAGGATCCCCTAAAACAAAACTTTTACATAAATTTTGCATAAAATCATAACCCACAAAATAAAAGTGACCCACAAACATGGTAAATTACCGACTAGAATAAGTTGATCTTCCATTTCACTGACAAGAAGCCTGTCGATAACTGGAATAGAAGGCTACAACTCCTGCCACAACCAACCGGATTCACGAGGGAAAGTTAAGTTTATGAAATTATCGACAAGAAGCACTTCGATAATTTCTATTTTGGTTCGCCAGTTACCAGTCTAAATATTGCATGATATTACCGACAAATAACACGTGATCATTATTTTAATTCACTGACAAAGATCTTGTCTGACCCATGCCTGACCCATAAATAATGTATATTACTCTTAATTTAACTGTTCCCAAAGTTTTAGACATGTTGCTTGTTGGTAAACTTTCAATTCACCGAGGAAATCTGTTAGGTCGATGATTGTAGGTCGGTGAAATTGAGTTTTCTAATAGTGAATGTAGAAAAAATCTAAATATAGAAAATAAAGTAAACATTAGAATTTACATGGTTCATTATTACAATATGCGATAGTTACATCCACGAGAGAAGGAAAACATCAAATCCACTGTGAAATCAATGTTTTACAATAGATTTAAGGAAAATGATGTGTGCACACCCATATTCAACACCCGGGTGTGCACACTCTACAAAAGTTCCATTTTTCCTTTTTTTTTTTTTTTTTTTGTAGAGTGTGCACACTCGGGTGTTGAATCTAAGTGTGCACCAATCATGGTCTTAGATTTAAATAGTTTAAATCACTCAAACCACACTCTAGGAGGAGTTCCTAGTACACCCAAACTCACTCCACCTAAAAAAACCATTTTTATCTTAAAAGAACCATTTTATTTCCTCTTATGGTGATTGGCGTCCAACTCTCACCTCTGTTTTTGCTCAATAGAGCTCCTTTATATTTATAAAAGTACAAAAAGATAGTTTTGTAGTTCTAGAGAAAGCCCAACATGCATAACATCACTAAAGCATATTGGTGAGCTTAAAGACTATATTTTCTGATATGGTATACTAGACTCATGAACTTTGCTGCCAAATTCGAAAGCTTTAACGTAAATTTAAGGCATACCTCACAGAAAAAAGAAGTTTAGTTCTTATCAAAGCTACTAGTGGCCTCACTTTGAAAGATTACTTTAATTAATTGAATAGATTAGATAAGCTTGATCTAATTAAACATTAGTAGTGTTACACATATAATGAGGGATCAACTCGATTAAGGAAAGGAAAGGAAAGGAAAGGATGGTTTAGTGGGAAAATTGATCTCTTACATGTTTTCTTCTTTTATAATTAAAATAAGAAACAAGGCAACTTAATTATAATTTAGAAGCTTGGCCAAGTCTAAGTAACGCTGATTTGTAACTACGTTGGGGCATAATAACGCTGATTTGTAACTAAATTGGGGCATAAAAATAGTTGAATGTTGGCGGGTGAGAACCATTTAGAATTTAAAAAGCTTGACCCCCCAAACTTCGCTTTGAAACCTTCACTTTTTTCTTTTTAGCGACAATTAGGGTTTATTTGGTTAGGAAGTTTATTTTATTAGAAAAAGTTTATTAAAAGAGTGGTCTAAGAGAGTATTATATAAAAAGTTTACGAATTTTGTGTAAAAAATTAAAAATTTTATAGTGAAATTTCATTATTTGATAAGACATTAACGTAAAAAAATTAACAAAAAAATTACCAAGTAAATTTTATGTAAAGAAAGTTTAGAGAAAATTTTTTTTAAAAAATAAATACTAAAAATACCATTTTTATTTTTTATAGTATTAATAAATAAAAATATATAAATAACTATATAAAAAAAATTTAGAAGAAAAAATTTTCCACAACCGAACACCTCCTTGGTGTTTATTGCGTATGGATCAACTTAGATTGGCATTTTAAGCATACATAAGAAATGAAATTTAAATTACACAGCTATAACTGCAATACATAATTCACTCTACACGGCACACAGTATTAATTTAACACCAGTAGTCGCTTACCAAGTCCAAGGAAATTACACTGTATATATGTAGGCAAGGTAGCTTAGGAGCAGAAAATGCTTTTTATCCAGAAGCTAAAAAAAAAGGATTTATATGCGTCATGCTGACTCATTTAAATTTACTCTTGCGGCTGCTGCCATGGCCTCCCCCACCCCACCAGGTGTTGTACTGGCCTCCGCCTTGTTTCTCATCTCCGCACCTATCACCCCCTCTGCATCTTCTCGTGTCACTGCCTTATCTGAGGGCAGTGTTGTGGTAGCATCCTGTCATGGTGTCATGTACAAAAATTTGCATTAATCCAAAAATACATAAGGAATAAGCATAAGAATATTAAGAAATTAATTAGTATAATTTTGTCTTACTGATACGAGATCAGATATGGTGATCCTATCATCATCTTTCTCAGCACGGACATTGAAATTGGCTGCAGACCTAGCCATGGTGCCGAGGCCACCATGCTTTCTCTCATTACCACCAGTTGCTCTCATCTCAGCTGCTTCTATTGCTGCTGCATCGCTGTGGTCAATAGGTTTATCCCCAATAGACATGGCTGTTGCCTCCAAAGCTTCTCCTATGGTAACATTGGCATCCAGATCAACCGTCCTTGTTTGACTCCGTGGAGGCACATCCTGGTGAGCATGTTGACCCACAATCTGGTCACCAACAGCTTTGGTAACCACAACGTTACCGAAGTCAATATCTCTTGATTTGGTGACAGAGACGCCCTCCCTTCTGACCATACCGGTGCCCGGGTCGTGGCGGACGAGGCCAGCTTTCTCGTTGGCAGCTGCTGCGGAGTTCATCACAGCGGCATCCGCTTGCATCTTTCCTAGTACTTGGTTCTCCGCAGACTGCATGGCGGCGGCATCTCGTGGTGCAACCGGTTGAGATGCCAATGCGCCTGAGACATCAAATACGTCCCCATACCTAACGGGTTCTTGATCGGAAGACCGGTCATGTTGGGGCCTTCGTAGTTGTCGTTGACTCATTTTGACTAGATGGAAAGTTTTCCGGCGAGAGATATGGGCCGTGCCTGTGGGTCGAAGGACGTATATATACGAATTTTGGTCCGAGGAAATGGGTAGGAAGTCCTTACTTGAACACTAGATGTTCTGAAATTTACAGGTGTCAGCGAGGATGGTGAGATTTTGCAACTTGGATTGACAAATGGATGCTGCCGTGGCTGGTCCTGATGTCTAGCTCTGCCACTACAAGAATTCACTATAACACCGACGACAAACCATGTCGAAGAAAGAGAGATTCTGGTCGGTGAAACAAACTTCCCACTTGCATCACGTTGGTAATGGCTGCCTCGGTGAAGCCCGGCTCGGTAATTAAATCACCGACGTAGATGAAAATGACGTCGGAAAACGCACTCACAATTACCGACAAAAAACATCTTGGAAATAGGGAGCCGAAACAGTTAACCAGAAAACATCTCGAGTTCCACGTCGGTAAATTACCGACAAGCATAACGTCTGCACATAAGGAGGAGCCTCGAGCCCTGCGCT